ACTGTTAAGACCTGGAGCTCTTGGAAAACAACTAAAGGTATTTTTGCATTGTGAGATAGGCATGAGCTTTGGGGGACTAGGAGCGAAATGTTATGGTTTAGATATTAGGTGTCCCCCAAAAGCTCATGTATGAGACAATGCACGAAGGTTTAGAGGTGAAGTGACGGGTTCTGGGGTTCTGAGAGCCTGAACCTAATCAGTGCATTAATCCCCTGATGCGGATTAACTGGGTGGTAACTGGACAGCAAGGGTGTGGCTGGAGGAGGTGGGTCCCTGGGGGCTGCCTTTGGTGTATGTATTTTGTCCTTGTTGACTAGAACTCTGTTTCCTGGTGCCGTATTCCCTTTTGCCACACTCTTGTTCCACGATGTTTTGCCTCACCTCAGGCCCCTGAGAGGGAGTCGGCCATCTGTGCACCAAGACCTCTGAAACTGTGAGCCCCAAGTCAACTTCTCCTCCTCTAAAATTGTTCTTGTCAGGTTTTTTGGTCACAGAAGTGAAAAAGTCCATGAGAACAATATCTATTTCATATCTTTACAGTTTCTTTCTGATAACATTAAAATAATAACTTCAAATAGAGCAAACACTATGTTGCATATTTTAAATAAGTGGTCTTAATTCAAAGCACTTTTGCTTTATTTTGTTATTCTCATATCCCTGAAAAGTTGGACAGTGGTATTATCTCTGTATGATAGATTGATGGACAGGGGTGCAAAGGAACTAGTACCAGACCCCATCCCTATGATGCCGGGAGGTGATAGGATCTATCCAACTTATTCTCCACCCTCCTGTGAACAATAGAACACAGGGAAAGAGAAGAAGGAAGACCAGGCAGGTCAGGTTCTAGGAACTGCTCGTGAACAGCAATCTGGTGGAAAGACTGCAGGGTAAGAGGAGGCAATTCCAAGAGCCCCACCCAGCAACTGCCAGAAAACTTCACAGAATGGTTTTCCACACGGTCCCTCCAAGGCCAGCCAGGTGCTCAGAGGCCTTTCACCCCTAGTGCTGCACCCCAATAGAGACAATTTCTGTTTCCTTTGCCTTTTCATTTTTTATTTCATTCTTATTAAGGTCATAGATATTTATGGCAAAGATTAAACAGAAGAACTCTTCTTATAGTCTCTTATTTTTCCAGAAAGTTTCTACATCTGTAAATTACACATATAATCTTTAAACACACATAGGGAGTGTATGCTTTCTACTGTTCTGCAACCTGCTTTTGTTTAATGTAGTATATTTGGGACATCTTTTCATACCAGCACATATTGCTTCTTCTCCTCACCCCCTTTTCAAGGCTGCATGGTATTCTATTGCATGATGGTATTCCATTGCATGAACAGGCTATATTTAACTGACATCTCCTCAACCAAGGTGTTGTGTTTTTTTTTTGCCAACAAACAATGCTATAATAAACGTGTTCATCCATGTCTCTCTGAGCACTTTTATCAGTGTATTCAGATTAGCAATTCAAAACAAAAATTGTGTGATCAAAATATGCTTTTAAAAAGTCTTAATCCCAGTAGTTCTGGAGGCTGAGACCAGATGATCAAGAGTTCAAAGCCAGCCTCAGCAACAGTGAGGCGCTAAGCCACTTAGTGAGAGCCTGTCTCTAAATAAAATACAAAATAGGGCTGGGGATGTGGCTCAGTGGTTGAGTGCCCCTGAGTTCAATCCCTGGTAACCCCTGCCAAAGTCTTACAGATACCTCCATGTTGCCCTCGGAAAAGACGGCATTGATTCACACACCTGCTGACAATGGATGAGAGCCTATTGTGTCACAGCAATGGAGAGGATGATTGTTTTTTTTAAAGAATGATGATTACATAGACATTCAAAAATAATACGTTCCAAAAGCAAACCATAAACAAACAAACAAAAAAGACGCACCCATTCCAAACTCATTAGCTTAGTCCATGACATGTGAAAAGTAGATCCAGATACTTGGGCCTACCAGCTAAGACTCTGACACCTTTTGATTGACAGAGAATACTAGCCTCACCGATGGCAGAGCGGCTGTTCTGAAGCCCTGACTGTACGTGCTGTGCTAACCCAGCTGCTTTCCTATCACCACACTCTCCCTCCTCCTCACCCCTCTGGAGTCGACTTTATTGTTTTATAGAAGAAACCGGAGGCTCAGAGAGGTGAGGCTACCTTCCAGGGGATGGAGATGGTGCCTGGTGGGCTGAGGACTGAGCACAGGGCGTCTGGGGCGCTCCTCAGGCCCTGAACCACTCTTCTTGGCTGACCCCCTGCCCCGCGTCCTCCCCAGCGAGCTCTGTGGCCATCACCTCTTCCACAACACCCACAGTCATGGAGCGGGGCTGGGCACGAGGAGTTAGAGCATTTGTCTGCAGAAGGCAAAAGATTCCACCTTCAAAGCTTCCCAGCCCGGGGGGGGAACCTCCACACGTGGGAAGAACAGCCCAGATTTAAAATGACCAGAGGGACACCTCCTGTGTTAAAAGGCAAACTGAAGCAGGCTCAGGACAGCTACGCAGTGCCACCATTGACATGGCAAGGGCTCCAACATCCCATACCATGGCTCCTGCCTGCCCCAGATAGGGGGCTTTTTTTTTTTTTCTGAGAACCTCGCTGGTGCCCAAAGCCACAAAGGCCTTTTCTGTATATAAGAACTAGCCCCTGATGCAGGCACAAAATGTGTTTATGGGGCCATGTGGAAGACCCTGTCCTGAAAACAAGTTAGTCACCGCTTTCTTAGAGGACCATCGGGGCCACTGACTTCAGTTCGTCATGAATCAGAGAGAAGTCATGCTAACCCAGAATTCTCTTTCCCCTTCTTGTTTTAGGTTGGGGTGGGAGAGCACCCAATCCAAGCCTCTCTCCTCCTAACCTCTGTCCTCCACCAACAGAGGACAAACAAGACTCACATCCACGGTAACCAAGGTTCCATCCGTTTTGTCTGGGCTTAGCCAACCTGAAGGCACACTGTTCCAGAAAGTCATGCATGTGTGACCCTGGGTCAGCTGAGACCAGAAGAGTGGGCAGGAAGCACAGCTCCCTCCTTCCTGGGACCCCTACCCGGGTGCCCCTTTGCTCCGATTTTCCCCAGTCCACAAGGTGACTCTGTCAGCGCCCTGCCCAGTCTCAGAACAAGGGCCACACATGCAAATGTCTGCAGAGGCTGACGGGCAGGGGAGCAGCCAGCCGGGGGGAGACTGGGGCAAACTAGAGCAGAAGCAGACTTCCAGTCTGGCCAGGAGAGGAGAAGGGAGAACAGGGCCAAGACGACGATCGCCAGACCTTACAGGTTTTCAAGCGAATCAGGGCAGCCAGTGTAGACCTGTAGGACTGGACTCCTGCCTGCTCTGGGCCTCAGGGGCCCCTCGCTGCCCACCTCTGACTGCACCGGGGCCATGTCCTCCCAGATCCCACAGTCCCCATTCTAGAACCACGCCAGCACCCTGGAGTTCCCTGCCCAATGGCCCTTAGAGAGGCCCAGGTCTGCACGCCCTCTCCTGCAGAGTTGCCAGATAAATACAGAATGTCCAGCTAAATTTGAATCTTTTAAAAATATAACTATGCCCCCAGTGCTGTGTTACTTGTTTATATGAAATTCAAATATAACTTGGCATCTTGTGTTTTTATTTGCTAAATCAGGCAACCCTGACCCCCAGGTCTGTCTTCCTAGGACAGGATCCCCGTATGGCAGTTGGGCGACGAATGCAGAAAATGAAGCAGACACAGTGCTGCACTGGCCACATAAATGCAGGCCAGGGCTGGGGACGGGTTGAAAGAGAGGGGCGAGCTGTGGGCTAGGGGCTTCTGGCTGTTCTGTTGTACTAGAAACATCAGGGACGGGACTCAAATGGGTAATGAAATCTGCAAGCACAGCCTCCCAGGTTTTAAATATTAGATGCACTTCCAAGTTCCTTTAAAATACCATCTCTGTGGGCCTTTCCCCTGGTAGGAGGAAACCCTCCATCATTGCTCATGGCTCTGTTCCTACTCTGCATATTATACACTTCAACTCAGCCAGATTGTGTGAGGAGCCCCAGTCCCAGGGGCGAGAGTACAGATGAGCTCGGTGCCACCTATGTGAGAGAGCTATGCCAGGCTCCCTGGGGAGGGGGCACTGCTCTGACCTGGCACCATTGGCAGCGGTATTAACCTCTGTAGAAGGAGGAAGAAAGCCCAGGGCAGTGGCGAATATCTATAATCCCAGGGGCTTGGGAGGCTGAGACAGGAGGATCGCGAGTTCAAAGCCAGCCTCAGCAACTTAGCAAGGCCCTGAGCAACTCAGTGAGATAAATAAAATATAAAAAGGACTGGGGAGATGCTCAGTGGTTAAGCACTCCTGGGTTCAATCCCCAGGACCAAAAACCAAACAAAGAAAGAGGAAGGAAATTGACACAAGTGGTCAAATGAGCTGAGGTCCTAGAATTAGAACACAAAGGAGAGAGTGTTCCTTTTACTCCAGATTCTTCATTTTGCAGGAGGTGGAGGGAGTTGTGCAACAGGAGTTCATGACGGCTCAAGCCATCCTGAACCCAGGTCTACCGATCCTCGCCCACCCTGCGCGCCCATCATCTGGCTCCTAACGAGGACAGGGAACAGTACTCCTTCCCCACCATCCGGGGACAATAGCAAACTTGATTAGAAATTATGCTTCAAAAAGAAAGCAAGGACGGAAGACAGGGAGAAAGAAGGAAGGGAGGGAGAGGGGGTGGGAAAGAAAGAGAAGAAAAAAGAAAAGCCCCCCGCCCCCAGCTTCTCCACTTTGGGAAAGTAAGTGGAAAACAAACCCCTCCAAAGCATGAAAGCACCCTCAACGCCAGGAGGGCAACAGGAGCCTGCGGACTCTAGCCCTGTGGCGCTTTTCTTTGCTCCAAGGGCTGAAGGTGGCCCCCCAGGGCTCTCAAAGAGCCCCACGACCCTCGGCCAACTCAAGCAGCCACCTCCGGGTTCTCCCCGCTCACCTGCCCCCCAGCTTCCAAAGGCCACGTCAGAGGCCAGCAGGAGCTCGAGGCGGTGACACTGACCTGAACTGGGTAGAAGATGGCCTGCAGGGTGGGCAGGGTCTCAGTGAAGAAGTGGTCCCAGACGTCAGCCAGAGCCTCCACGAGGTTCTCACCTGCACCAGGGCGAGAAGACGGGAGGGGAGAGGGGAAGGGAGAGCTCGGGTTAGTCCCAGCAGAGGCCAGAGACAGTCCCACCTCCGAGGTGAAGTCCTACGTGATGGACAACTGGCAGCCGGGGCTGTTGGGACCCGGAGGCCAGAGCTGTGGGGCTGTAGGGTCTGGGTCCCTGGCCTAGGAGCGGGGACCTCGTGGAAGGTCATGGTCAGGTCAGGCAAGCTTTGCCCTTGGAAGGGATTCAGGCTGGCAGTGCAGACTTGGTTCTCTTCAGAGTGGATTATCATAACAGTGAGTTAGACCCCGGAATCCTGCCCTCCTGTCTTGGCTGGTGATCTCTTCTGCTGTTGTGATGCCACCCACCAGAAAGCCCTTACCACAGGCTGAACCAACGGGACCACCAGATTTTGTATTTCCAGCCTTTGACACAGTGAGCTAAATAACCTTTTATCATTATAAAGAACCCAATCCTGGACATTTTGTCGTAACAATGGAAAATGGATTGATACTGGTGGGAAGATTCAACTCAAACTATGTAAACATGACTTTGTATCCCTGGATTCAAAATAGGTGGCTGAAAATTTAAAATCACATAATAATTGCTATCATCATGTGAATAGTTACATTATCAGACAGTGTGTTAAGTTGCTTATTAACAAGCTATCTCATGAATAGACTCTGTTACCCCCGTTTCACAGGTTCAGAGAGGCCAAGTACCCCCCGGTGTAAAGTCACACAGCTTGAAGGCAGAGAGCTATAATTCCAGAAGCCATGCTCTTTACCACCCTAACCTGGGAAATCACATGTACAGCCATATATTGTTTTGTTTTCTTAGTCATGAACACACTGGCCTTATTCTGGGATTGAGCTGTCAGTTGAGAGAGGTGGAAAGAGGATTCTGGAAACTGTCAGCTCCGCCCACGGCTTCACAGTAAATGAGAGGGCAGCATTTTCTCAGAGGTCACCTGGGAAATACGGGACCCATCTCCTGATTCTGTGCCTACTCACCCCGGGACCAGGCAGCCTAGGCTATGGCTGAGTGCCACCTGCAGGCTGGGGCACACGTGTCACCTGATGCCACAGGGGTGGGGACAGAGAGAGGAATTTGCACCTGCGGGAGAGGCAGGTGCTAGCAGAAGCAGCCGGCTTGGCGGTGGCTGCAAATGACCTAGATATCAGAGCTGACTGGGCACTGTCTGCTCGTCCCCGGCAGAGAAACTGGGTCAGCCAAGACAAGACACCGTTTGGCAAAATCCCGCTCGTTTCACGGGGCAAGTCCTGAAAGGCCGATTGAGCCTCCCGAGTCTATTAATTTAATGGACAATAAAAGCCGTCGCTGTGGAGAAGGAAGAGAGCGGGGGCGGGGGGCTGAGGAGTCGCTCAGGGGCCCAAAGACTGTAGACCTTTGAGGTCAGGTGACACACAGTGGGGGAGGGGCAACCCAGGCGCCGCCACTCCCTTGAGGACATGGATCCTTACTTTGTAGGAGCTGCTTGTCACTCCCTGTCCCCTCCCCTAGAGCTGGCAGGCCACACTGTACTGCTGTACTAACAGTGTGGGGCACAGTGCCAGATACACGAACAAATCTATTCTAGAAACCTTCTCGGGACTGAGTGGCGAGTGCCAGGTGTAAAGGTCTGTGCAGGTGCTTGGCCCCGTGAGTGGAAGGAGGGACCATTAGCCCAAATATGAAGCAGTACGGAGAGGGACTTAATCACAAGTGGAAATAAAATGCTCTTCGGATAAAGAAAATGTCTACGTGTGGCCTACTCTCTGTGTCTTCATCCTCTGGAATATCTGCCTCAGCCTTTGGGCTCCTTGTGGATTTTATCTTAGCCGTTCACTGTCACTGTGCTTCCTCACGCCACAGGGCCTTTGCACCTGGCAGTTTCTCTTGCCTCAACTACTTCTGTTTATCTTTCTGTTTTAACTGAAATTTTACTTCTACAGAAAACTCTTTCCCCATGGTTCCAATCCCTCTATGATGGATTGCCTTCACAGTACTATCTAGTCACAATTCTATATTTGGTGACGACTTGATTAATACCTGTCTCCACTACCTGTTTATAAGCTCCATGGGAGTCTATGAGGTTTCATTCATCACAGTATCCACAGCACCTAGCAAAGAACCCGGTATCTACTAAGTCATCAATAAATGTCTGATTGACTCAATTACCACCCTCAGGTGGAGGCAGGAAGTCAAAAGAGCCATATAAATGTTAGGTCACCACTACTCCTAAAACTAAGGTGAACTCCAGCAAGAGGCTCCTCCGTTGATGGGCCTTCTCTTGAGCCCTCCACAACAGACAAGCTCCTGACTTTGGATGGGCAGGAGCAGACCCTCGGGGCCCAGCTGTGCCTGCTTCAGTGCCTGGCACGTGAGAGGAGCCTTGAGCCCACCGGGGAAGCTGGGCCAGGGAGTAGCGAGCAGCTCCCTAGCTGCTGGCTGCAAACTTCAGAGAATAAGGAAGGTTTAGGAAAGCGTTCAAAAAACACAAAAAACACCAGCAGACGGACACGGGCCAACAGGACAGGAAGGCCCCGGGGAAGAAAGAGTTAAAGGAAACAGGTGACTGAGGGAAAAGACCCAGGAGCCAAGGACCTAGCTCCCGCAAAGGGGAAGGGGATTTGCAGTGGAAGGTTCTAAGTGGTTCCTCTAACGTACCACCAGAGCTGAGATCCCAGAAGATTATAGGAAGGTAGATGAAGCTTCCTGAGGTCAAGGTCACTGAAGCTCTAGAAAAGATCACTGAGAACACCTGTCTCCTGCCACAAAAGTGCAACCAATGGACATGGAGAGCCACCTGTCCTTTCTGCAGCCATCCAGCAGGGGTGTGCAATAAAGTAAGGTTCATGGGGCAACCGGAGAGATCATATTTGTTTTTCCCAAACTTCGCTTGATAGCCAGAGAATTCTTTTATCCAGACAAAATCTTTCTTGGGGTTCTAATGCATAAAAGTAGAGATGTCCTAGTTGGAGATGGGAAAGACCCTTGAAGTTCCCAGGAGCCCGTTGCTTGTGCAGAGAGGCCCTGGCACCCAAAACCCTGGAACTAGAGGAGACCCCTAGGGACGCCCTGGCCCATGCACTCTGGCTATGCCTTGGGGAGTAGGCCAGGATCCAGGATGATCTCTTCACTCTGCCTCGCTCCATTTCTGGATTTTGGCTCTACATTGAGGATGACCTGGACGAGAGTTGTCAACTTCCTGTCAAGGGCATGTGAACGTCCAAGTTTTCTGAGGACCTCTTTCATACGGCTGGTTCCCTGCATTTCCAAGAGCTTGGAGTAACTCCCTCAGTGACTGACAGATGAGGAATGTGGCCAGGGACCATGCTTCTTGTCCCCCCCTTGACTGGGTAGCTGCCTCCTTTGCCTATGCACTCATGAGACTCCAAGATGCACAACCACACCGAGTTCCTGGTCAGAGCCACCTCAAGTCTAGCCTCCACTGACTGGTGAACGGATAAAGGAAGCACAGTGTAGCTACGCTAGAGTAGTATTTGGCCTTTAAAAAAATAGAAGAAAAAAGGGACAATATGATGCCTATTGGGTCTGGATCCAGAAACCAGCTTGACTATAAGTCAAGATCAAGGTCATTAGGCTGGAGAAGGGGGGAAAAAAAAGCCCCAGTAGACATCCTACTATGTGCCACATATAGTGCTACTCCAGTTATGGGCCTTGTACTCCCTGCAAGCCCTCAACCCAGGTCATCGCTTTAAATAGGATGAAAACAAACTCGAGAACCTGGCAACTTGTCATGTCACCCGAGAAGTCAGAGCTCAGATCAGGCCCCGGGTCGGGGGAGCCCAGGCACAGGGTCGGCCTTCCCTGCCTCTCATACCAGCTCCTCCCAGTTCTTCTCAATCCTGTCGGTTGGCTTCTAAAATCAGCATAGACCAGGAAATTCCTTTATCTATCAAATCCCACCCCATTTTTTGAGTGTGAGCCTGCTTATCCTAATGTCCTCCAAATAAGGGGAACACTGCTGTCTACCAGGATCCCAAGAAATATTACAAAGGCCAACAGGAAACAGCCAGAGGCAGAGCCAAGGGACCAGCATGGCGGAATCCACAGAATCTTCCAGGAAGTCCATCAGGATGTACCCCGTGAAATCCCTTAACAAAGTCTCCAGAGCAGCCACCCATGTCCCCTCGCTCTTCAAAACACCTTCTGATTGCACTGCATGAGCGGCTGACTCAGACCCAAGTGCCACAGCAGAGCCGAGGGACAGGGTGACTCACTCGCGTGCAGCCTGCTCCTTTTGGACAGAAGCGTCTCAGCTGTCCCAACATCAAAGGCTGAGTCACAGGGGCCCCACTCCACCAAGGCTGCCTTGTACTTGCCTTCGCACAGCTTGATCTTCTCCTCCACAAAGGACAGTCCCTTTGCAAGCAGCTGGTTCTGCCAAAAGAGAACAAAGGACACAAGAATTGGCGACTCTGGAGCAACCAGCAAGCAGCCCTCCTCCACCTCCAACAGAGGCCTGGCCTGCCTGAGCGCAAGTCAAGGCCAAGGAGGCTTTTGTCCTCTTGGAAGGCCAAGGCCTGGGAGAACCAGGAGACACCCCAGAACCAAAGCAGTGAGCAAGCGAGCAAGGGATCCCGAGCCGAACGCAGCCGCCACCCCTCCACCGTGGGAAGAGATACGGCACAGCCTCTGCTGAAGTCACTACTGCTGCCACCCCATGTCCTGAGATCCCCGATGATCTGAACTCACAAAAGGAGCTTTGAGGCAATGGGAAAATATGCAGAAATAGTTTAAAAAAGATAAATTGAGAGTGTGTCACACTAGCACAAAAGAGATCGAATGCAAAATCCTGAGCAGCAGCAAGTGGGGGTCCGTGAGTGCCCCAGTGCCTGGGGAAGCTGTGGACAGACAGCCAAGTCCTCCTGCCATGGCAGCTGGCCATGGGCGAAGGTCCTGCATCGATCCCAGGCTCTTTCAAGTCATTTCATTCCATCCTACGAGGCTGAATGAGTGAACTATTAGCCTCATCTACTGGTGGTCAGCGAGCTGGGCCCACATGACACGGCGGACCTTCCTGCTTCTGGGAGCTAGGCTCTTCCCACTCTGCTACTCCGTGTTCCAGCACGTCTTCCCACCCAGACCCCCTCCTACCCTCCCAGGGCTGCAGCTGGTCCCACTGTGAGTCACAGAAGCTCAAGGTGCTGGTGCCTCTCCACTCACCTCTCCTTAGATTACCGGAGGCCTGTGCTTGTGGGGAGGTGAACAACGAGGGCATGTATGCTTACGAATAAAACAATGTGGTCTTTAACACTGGCCTTTACAAAACCCTAAGGCCCTCTCACAACAGTGATGAGAACATAGCACAGTGGAAAGAGCCTGGGTACCAGAAAGTTCAAGTTCCAGCTCAACTACTTTTTTTTCCCCCCACTTACTGTATTACTGTATTCTGTTTTTTAATTTGTATTTTGGGGGGAGGGTACCAGGGATTGAACTCAGGCACTCGACACTGAGCCACATCCCCAGCCCTATTTTGTATTTTATTTGGAGATAGGGTCTCACTGAGTGGCTTAGCGCCTTGCTTTTGCTGAGACTGGCTTTGAATTTGGGATCCTCCTTCCTCAGCCTCCTGAGCTGCTGGGGTTACAGGCATGCACCACTGCACTCAACTATATATTTGTATTTTTAATTGACACATAATAGTTGGACCTACTTTTGGAGAACAGTGACATTCCAATACCTGTGTACAATGTGTAATGATCAGATGAGGGTAACTAGCCTACCTGTCACCTCAGATATTTACCATGACTTTGTGCAAGGAACCTTGCACATCCTCTCTACTAGCTATTTTAAAATGTACAGTTAGTTGTTTTCAACCATAGTCACCCTACAGAGCTACAGAACGTTAGAAGCTAGCCCTCCAATCTAGCGGTACCCCTATGGCTTGGCTACTTCTAGCTATGTGAGTTGGAGCTTAATTTCCCTGAGTAATAAGTTCCTCATCTATAAAATGGCACAATATCAGCAATGTCATAAAGTCCTTGCAAACCAATGATTATAAATCCACACACAGTATCTCATGTCTTCAGTAATCAGTGGTGGTGGTGGTGATGGTAATAGTTACTATCTCAGCCCAACCACTTCACAAAAGAAGTGGGAGGTAAAGAGAGTCAGTAATGAATGGACCTTATCACATGTGCTCAGAGTTTATCAAAGACACCATCCCCTTTTTGTGGCTGGGACACATAAACTGAACTTCATAATCCTATCGAGACTTGCAAGCTATGACCTAAATTTGGAGAAGTGATTTGGCCACCACTTGGTTTCAAGATGGCGGCTGGAATCCCAGATCAAAGTTGGAACCACATGGTGTAGGAGGACTTTGCTAAAGCAAACAAAACCAATTCCTTCACCAAGAATTATAGAAGAGATAGGATTAGGATGTAGCCCTAATCTGTCCCCAAGTCCCCAGCCAAGCAAATGAATCCTGGCAGCTTCCGGGTCAGAAAGCAAGAAAACTCCCCAGCAACAACATCAGACTGGCAGGACCTTGTGACAGCTGAGCAGGATGTGCCAGGATTGCTCAGGGGTCCAATGATGTCAATCGCTCTGTCCAAACATTTCTGACACAGTCCCAGTTGTGGCCTGGAGTCTCCGCTTAGGGTTGAAGGGGCCTTAGGTGTCATTTAGTCATCCTTCCCTCTCCCCAGTCCTGTGGTCACACACACACAGGTTTTGTTGTTGTTGTTGTTTGGTACCACTGAGTCACATCCCCAGCCATAGAAGTAGGGTCTCCCTCCCTCAGATTCTAACACGTGGACGTGAGGCTCAGCCTCCTCGACTTGGCCTTCATTTCAGTACAGGCTATCAGGAGTAAGGACTTTCAGTCCGCTTCCCGCAACCCCTTTTTCTGCAGACCTGTACAACAACCCGACCGAGCTGCCCCCTGCCTGTCCACACACCAGCGCACCCACAGGTGCAGCTCTGGCTGCCTGAGGGGCCCCTCCCACCCTACCCCATCCTGGCCCTTAAGCTGCTGCCCCGCTCTCCTCCTAGGAGCCCAGTCTCACAGTTTCCTGTGGCCAAAGGGTCCTCATTCCAAAGGCCTTGTGCTCTGAAGGACCCCCATCTGGGGCCTAGCGCTGCCCACTGCCCGCTCCAGGTCCTCACATGTTGATCTTGTAGTCTGTGCTTTCTAAGAAAAGTCTGAGGAGACCCTGCGACGTGCACTGTGGCTGGGCCTCAGCTCCTGATGGTCCTGCCTCCCTCGACCTCCCTGGGCCTGCTCATCACACCCCTCTCCATCCTACCACCCATGTCCCTCTCCTCCTGGGTGATGACAGGGTCATGTTGGCCTAGATGCTGGTGCAGGGAGGGTCAGGGTTGGCTGTGTGCCTAGGGCAGAGGCCTCTAAGGGGCTTAAGTCTGCTCACAGGTCCTGAGACAGAGAGAGGGGAGGAAGGAAGCCTGGCCTCGGGCAGGCAGCAATCCTGTATGTTTCTAAGTGCCTGTTCTTTCCAGATCCCACCTCTCAGTATTCCCACCCCTGTCAAGTGCTGATTCCAGAAGGTTCTGAGCAGTGGTGAGGGAGCCCATAGCCACAGAGTGAGACAAGACCCCCTTTTCCCTAGTGAAACTGCAGACCCATCACCTCCCCAGCCAGACAGCCCTCAGCCAAAAAGCAGTCACGTTATATAGTGGCCACCTCGGAAACACCTTGGGCCTCGGGAAGGGACCCGCGTTGCTTAGGGCACCCTCCTCCTGCCCCTCAGTGAACTCGGGCATGGACTAAATAGCACTTTAATGAAGAGGCAGAGTGGTCCGGAAGGGAAGAAATGGCTGGCATTTTTTCTAACACATAAAAAAGTAGGCTGTAAACAGAGAGATGACGCTCAGTTAGAAAAATGCAAACAAAGTCGCCTTGGGAACGGCACCCGGCCACCACCACCCAGCCTGCAGGAGGAGAGAAAACCCAGCCCATCTGGGGAAGCCGAGGCCGGGTGGAGACCAGGAGAGCAGGGGTGAGGTGGGGCTCCTCGGCCTCATGCACCTCCTGTGAAGCAGACACCCCCACAACCAGGGAGCACAGAGGGGTGAGGGTAGTACCAACCACCTCTTCTTGCAGGAGGGACTTTCAACACAGAGCAGGGACTCTACATGCCGAGGCTGCCGGCAACTGCAGTGTCCACTGCCTCAGCCCTGATGGTGACCACAGTAAGAATGGCCGTGGGGTCATTTACTGTTTTCACTACCAGGCTCCGAATGTCACTCTCTCACGCATTACCTCATTTTACCTCTACCATGCACCTATCCCCTTTTAACAAAAGAAACTGAGACTCAGAGAAGCAGACAGCAAATGTGGGGTCCGAATTTCTACCCAGATGGCTCTGAACCCCAAATCCACGTATTTCCCCCATTACAGAATATTCCTCTGGCTTACCTTAGCAAAACAAAACAAAAAATAAATTAATAAAAGCTAAGATGCAAATAGCCATCCTGTGTTGACGACTCATATGTACCAAGCACTTTGTGTCTGTCACCTCCCTTAGTAACCACATTAACCTTATGAAGTGGGTACCATGATCACAACTAGGTTATTGCTAAGGGAAACGAGGCTCAAATAGGTTAAGAAACAAGCCTAAGTTCACACAGCGGATTGGACTCCAGACCCACCTGGCAGAAGGGTTGGTGCTTTTCGCTATCATGCTGTCCTGCCCTGAAGAGGTTTCTTGTGTCCTTGTCCACAGAAGCAGCAGATGGAATCCACTTCAGTTTAGACCCTGGGGACAGCTGGCCCAGCCATCACAGGCCTCATAACTAGATTCTACCCCAGGCCTTCCATCCACCGTGGTTCTTTCTGCAGCCCAGTTCTGCTATCAGCTTTCCAACTCCCATGTCTCCAAAAGGACTCTTCCAGGGCCCTCCTCTCCACTACCACATTCCGTGTCCAGCCCAGGTGGATCCCATTCCCAAACAAGACATTCCTTCCCACCCCAGAGGGGCCTCGTGGCTGTGCTGCTCTGCCTACGGAGAACATATGTGAGCCAACAATTCCACCCAGGCATGTGTTTCCGGTGATATCCGTGTCTTCAAAGGTTCCTGTTATTGGCAAGGACCAAGGGATGGAAATCACAGTTCACCCCCATTTCTACCCGGCACGACTTGGAAAGGCCAGCATGATCTCTAATGTTATCTGCATTTCCTGTGAACCTGGTCGCCCTCCTAAGCAAGCAATAAAAGTCTCACAAACACAGTCACCCCCAGGCCAGAGAGTTCTTAATAAACCAGTCCTGGTGTGGGCGGGTGGGATGAGATGGAGCAAAAACCCAAGACAGAGACTGAGAAGATCAGTCACTCAGCAGTAATACTGGTTCTCCACTGAGTACCGTTTCAGCCACCATGAAAGGGGGAAGTGGGGCTTCTAAAAATTATTATTT